ACCCGTGGCCCAGTCGTGGAGATGGTAAGATTTCCAGACATTACACATATATAAGTCCGATCATAACATATTGATGACAGCAAAGGCAAATTTCCAACAAAATCGCCCCGGATCTGGACTGTTAGCAGGGGATTTTCATGAGAAGAGAACCACTTTTTCCACCTACCTGTTCAATATAGATGATGAGTTTTCATAGTGTTTCTAGTAGCCACTGATTGACAAATTCGAAAATTTTTATTTTTTCTTGGACATTTTCTTTTATTTGTGAACAAAATCAAAATTTTTCGAATTTTTGATATCATCCTTATATCTAAATTAAAATTTTTAGATTTTTTAAATTGTATGAATTTAAATAAGATGGTCTATATTTTGCTATAAGGCCGTAGAGCGTCGCCGAGGAAAAATTTGGTTTCCCCCACTAAACCCCGCTAACAGTCAGCGCCATCGTCTCCAGATTGTATATTACCGGGCAATCTCCATTCCATTTTTCTAACACATGACAACAACCTATGTGCCAAACAGGAACCTTTCGCGCGTGGTACGAGGGCACATCAGGGTGTCCCAATAAAAAGGTCACGCTGGCATTTTGCTATTTCAAATCCGATCGCTAGGAAATTTTGCACAGAGGTGCGGAAGAATTCAAAATGTTCACCGAAACCCTCAGCCCGATAATTACAGTAGTTTTCGAGTTATTGTAAAATACTGTTTTCCCAACCTAGCTTCATTTTTCAGCTATCTTTTTGGACTTTGCATCAATCAACATAAATTTCCGGCTCTAAATCCCTTATACTTCTTAACATCGGCGTCGTTAGCCCTTGTTAAAAATACTTAAATAGCCTATTTTCTATTTGAATTTTGCGAAATAAAAAAATCCTAGGATAAAAAGGGTCGGCGCTTCATTTCTCCGTACATTCCAGGGCTCGATTCCGGCGGAATCCAGGTTAAAACGTAAAATAAAGTTTGTTTTTGCTATAACTCGAAAACTACTGTACCGATCGGGCTGAACAGTTTCTGTGCTCAATTTGATTCCCCTTCCGCACCTCTGTGCAAAATTTCAAATTCGATCGGGTTGACAACTAGCTAAATGCCCGCGTGACCTTTTTATTAGGACACCCTGTATAGCAACAAGAGATTTCGGACCCCGCCTACTAATTGTCAGGTTCCTCGAATACATGAATTGAATGTCTCATAGTCTTTGTTTTTGGGTGGTAGGCGAAGTGCATATCGGGCAAAGACATAGGCCCTGGCGCACCGGACCGTGGGAAGAATTTTTATGAATCCCGAACTTCATGACTATGATCGCCTCAACCAATCGAAAATATGTATGGTAGGCTCGAATATTGACTATAAAACGTTATAAATACATAATGCCAATGTAAAATTGTGATACGACTTTTAGAAAACACCAATCTACGATGACTATATGAATACAACCTTCACCAAGTACGAATGGTTCTATTGTTCGGTGGAAAAGTGTACTCTACAGTTTTGAAACAATCCATATTGTTTTGTATATTGATGATTGCATATGTGCATGTGAATTGCATATAAATTTTGTAAGAACGCGTCTAATTGATTTTGACGCTTTCCAGGCTTACGATGCAAGCCAAAAATATTAAAGCCCCGCTGCTAAAGAAAAGGTTGAGCAATTGTACAGTTAAGTTTTACGTTTGCTTTTGCTATCTTCTCGAAAAGCACATCAGCTAGGTATGAGTCACATCCTCTGCCTTTCCGTTCCTTCATAGATCAAAATGACACATGAGCCCCAAAATTCAACGGGCAATCATCCTTGCCGACTAGGATATAAACAGTCATGACCTGCTAGGACCTCTCTTTTTTAAACACTTGCATGCTTCTTCTCGTCCTCATCATTGCTAGCGTGATCGCTAGTGAAAAACTCCTATTAGTGCGTCAATGCCGACACTTTGATGACTGGCGGCTGATGGAGCCGGAGAAATTCCCGACGGTGCCACCTGTGCAAATGGTGGCTAAAAATTTCACCTCGTAATTTTTCCCATTTCAGAGTTCAATCTACTATTGCTATAAGCTGGAAACGAGCCGTAGCCGCAGCGGCTGGTGGTTTTCGGGGAAGCTCACCCACCGGCGGATGCACAACCCGCCTAACAATTGTCAGGTAAGCACCTTTTTGGACATTTCTCTTCATATTCTTTTTTGCGTTTTTTTAGTACGTATAATCTGCGTTTTTTAGTTCCACTCCACAGCCACGCTTGGAGACCGTGAAATCGAATGGCGCAAGGACTCGTTCCCGTCGCTTTTCGTGGATCTCGATAATAACGCCACACTCGATTACGATAAGCTATGCATGGTAAACTATCCGAAATACGGCTTTGATATTTTTCTCTAGAAAATGCCTATCTACAGCGAATACATGTGGCAGGCGATCAAGGCGAGCGAGCACTACAAATGTGACGTGGAAACGTGCAACTAAAGCTTTTAATCCGAGTTAAAATTATCGCTGTCCCTGTTTTTTTGTAAAATAAATTCTATCGTAATGGCCGATTTATAGCAGTTTACTGACAAAGTAAACACACAAGACGAAACGGCTATTCCCACAGCCAATAACAACTTTTTGGAAAAATTCCGGTCTGCCCAATATCTAAAAAGCCACAATCGCGACTAAACAATCCGGCTGATCAGAAAATTTAGTTGTGGCTTGTGATCGTTTAGTTGCAATGAACTCTCGGTTTTTTATCTTTTCCTTGGCCGTGCTCCTCGTTTTTGCCACGGCCAGGGAGATCGTGCTCCTGAAATCGTGCAAATATTTTGGTGTCTACCAGACACTCTTCAACCTGACGGACGATCAGGTTCCAGCGCTAGAGACGGCAAGTTTTTGTACTAAGACCGATTTCCTTTAATGATGTCAAAAAAAACCCAGAGCTATTTTGGGCAGGGACCTATTCTTGCTTTGTCGTGCGCAGAGATTCCGTAATCATCCGAGGAACCGAAATATTCTGGGCTTTACTCGGACAGAGGTCCACGAAACGGCTTTACTACCCGCCGACGAATTGCGAGGTGTGTTTTGCCATTTGCAGATTTTTATTGTTTCCTATGCTACGCATCCCAGTTTTTGTTTTTAGTTCAGAACAACGGCAAATATAGACTTTCCGCACGCACCCGGGCGGCGCGGTGACCCGAAGAACGTGTCGATCATGCTCGATAACATGGGCCCTCAGACTTCGTCACTGCGGGAAAGCAAAGTGACTTGCTGGGTGAGCACAAAACTGGCTCGGCGGCAATCTCGGTTCAGAAAACACCTATTTATTCCGACTTCATGGCAAAGGTGGCTGACAACGAGGTATTCAATCTGGAATACTATGGCTGCGACCTCTACTCTTGTTCTCTCTAATTGGAAAATAAAAGGAAACATTCAAATACTCTGTCGAAAAGAACACGTGATACTTTGGAATTTCGGAAATCTATAGAGACCAAGGGTATGAAAAGGCAAAATCAAACAAAACGTCTATGACACTCGGGATTCCCAAGCCGTCTCCGATCCAAGTACTAACCGAGCCCAACGTTGTTTAACTTGGCAGATCGGCCGGGATGCCGTGCTTTCAACGTCGTATGGTCGTAGGCGATAGGATAGGTCGTGGAAGCAGACCAAATCTCTGGCGCGGTTATGGCTATGCTCCCTCTCAAATGGTTACGCCGTCGGGGCCTTCCACTGGCTTTTCACCCCTTTCCCCACTCGCCCTTCCCCTGCGACCTTACCACGTTGAATGCACGTCATCCCGTCCCGGATCACCCAAGTTAAGCAACTTTGGGCTCGGTTAGTATTCCTTGGATCGGAGACGGCTTGGGAATCCCGAGCGTCGCAGGCTTTTGAAAAACTTAACAGCGCTTTAACAGTGTGTAAGTTGTTATCGTGATTTAAAGGGCACGTTCAGGGAAGTTTTTGGGCAAAGATTTGCCGCGGCCGGGGTCAACCGGACCCGCTCGGGAGGCGCGGATGGATACCAGTCAGCCACAGCTAACGGCTAACGAACGGCACGTCGGGGGTACACGGCCCCTCCCTGAACGTGCGCTTAAAGGTACACTAAAGTCTCGTTGGTTTGGTTACCGGCCGGTAACCGTCCGTGGGATAGCAAACAGGGTTACGGTAGGCGCTCGCCGCGGAGCAAAACCGAACCCGCGCACTCACCTAGGGCAAGCGCTTTGGACCACTAGGCCATGGGACAGACGGGGAGGGGACAGGGGAGAGAGGCATGAAGGGTTGGGGCGAGCGGCGGCAGGAACCCAAATTCCGGCCCCTGCGAAAATTTTGAACGGAGTTAGTGCACCTTTAAGGGCGAGAGCCCGTATGGAAACCTCGGCTTCTCCTAATCAATTCACTGCCGATTGCTTTATAAATGCCATGAGGCAGGAACGTCCCCTTCGTCCGTTTTGCGCAAAAATCATTTCCAGAATTAAACAATCCGTTCGTCTGTACTCGGTAGTGGAAATTTGATAAATATCGCTCGCCAGGTGAGGATGCAATTTGTTGGTACTAGTGTTGGTATTTGTTGGTGCAGCTTGTAGTGTAGCTTGCACGATATCGTATCGCGATCTCATGGCGGAGAGAGAGAGAGAGGAGAGAGAGAGAGAGAGAGAGAGAAATCTATAGAGAGAGAGAGAGACAGAGAGTTGGTCAGAGGGTTTTTCAGGAGTTAGGTCTCGTTAAGAAACTCCGTCCGATGTAAAAACGACCCTTGTAAGTAATTTTGACATGCATGATGTGGTGTCGACGCAGAGCCCGAATCTCGATTCGAAGAAAAAACGGACCAGCACATTTTTCACATCTTTATTCCGGGTAAAAAAAGCTCAACACGGGCAAATGACACGGGCGATGAGACGAAACGAGAATGAGCAATGAGACGGGACAATAGGGACCGCGGAATACGAGTATATCGACGTAGATAGGCCAGTCGATTGTTTTGTTCGTTGCAGACGATATCGATTCACGCGGATTGAATCGACCATGCGTTGTTGTGCGCTCCTTATTCCTTCTTCTTCTTCTGGCCAAACCAACGGACTGAAAAGCGATATCGACCACGCTGGTTATCACCCTTTTTTTAATTTGCTACAGAGTGTTCAAATTTGATCTATTAAAGTTGCCCCAAAAAAATTTGATGGATTGGAGCTAATTATGAATTGGGCCAGCCTTCCAAAATTACGGCGCCAGCATTTTCGTTTCAATCCGCTTTGTTGCTTACGGTTAGACATGGGATATTATATTTGGATGATCACTTACGAACTGGCGCATGGTCGTAGCCGTCCGTCTCCCATCCCTCAGCCAGCTTCTTGTCCAATTGCTCTTGCGCTGAAATATCAGGGTTGGGTAAGAGTTGACTTTACCCCCCTCCCCGACCCGGAAGCTCCCAAAATTTTTTAAAGGTTTGCCGACGGCTTAGTCAATCGGTTACGCGCTGGAAAGAAATGTCTCTGCGGCCTCTCCCTGGGTGCACTCTCTGCTCTGTTGGCTACTCGCCAATTTGTTGAGGGGGGGATTTACACATGCCGTCAGCCCTTTAAGGATGCCAATCGGTAGCCCTAGGCCCCAACTACTATCCGCTGGCCGGGAATTGCAAAAAAAAAAATATTAAAATTTATGCAATTAAAATAGTGTTCGGCAGGATGTCCGAATTCTGCTTGTCTGCGCCATAACTATTTTATTTTACATCATTATGGGTTGTGACGAAAACACTTAGTATATCTTTGACGCTTTATCGAATGCCCTTAAAGAAATTGAATTTGTTGAAAACCAGGTTTTTTACCCCATTCTTAGAGATGATTTTTCTTTTTGCTGTAACTATTTTATATTACAAAATTTTGAGCGGCCATAAAACTTCTGAGTATATTTTGAATGATCTATCCAATGAAGTTGAAAAATCCCGAAAAAAAATCAAAAAAATCGAAAATTTTGGGTCCCCTAGGGGGGGGGGACCCCCCCCCCGCGGGGGGGGGAAAATTTTTAAAAACCTTTTTTTTTTTTTTTAAAAAAAAAAAAAAGCCCGCCCCCCCAATTATCACAACTTCCCCACCCCCCCCACCCGCAGCGGGGGGGCGGCCTATACATTAGAAATTTGATTTTCCGATCGCTCATGTCAGGTCTTTCGGACCTCACCCGCCCGACCATGCTCACGCGTGCAACTTGCAAAAATGAGGAAAAACCTACACTTGATCCGATCGTTTGCGAGGAAAATCGGGGTGATGGCGTTCTTTTCCGGGTCCACGAAGAGGACGGCAGCAAGATTGTCCTAGAATGGCATGGAAATGGTTTTAGTCAGTGTGAGAGCAAAGGGCTACCTCACTGTAGCCAGACGACGAGAAGACGGTGGCCACCGGCATATCGGCAAAACGCTGCACACCGTTCGGCATCACCTATTAGAAAAAAAATGTTACTGTAGGACACATGGGGGTGGGTGGTCGAGGACCCCGTGGGCTACAATTGTTTCCGGGAAAGACTCGTTTTTTTATCTAAACCACGGATGTGTTTATTTATACTAACTATCACTGCGCATAAGCATTTGACAAAGTATCGTGAAAAATATAGTTTTTCGGAGCAAATTGGCCGAATTTTTCAGTAAACTGTTCTAACTTTTGTTGGAAGTTTGCCGCATAATAAATTTTCAAAAATTTGCCAAATAAAAAACACGATACATAGAAGGTGCCCCAAAAAAGCACCCCCCCCCCATATTCGTGTCTGATTTTCACGATTGAGCTATTTACCGAAAGTCTTTGAAAAGGCGAGAATACCATAAAGTATAAGGTTGATGCAAATTGGGGAATTCCCATTCAAAAATTACCTGATTTTAAAAACGGTGAATATTGATCGAATGAGATTAATGCTTAGAAAAGGAAACGAGCTTTCGAGAGCTTTCGAATGGCGTAAAAATCGTTTCCGACGATTGCTGTTCTCCACTGCCGATCCCAAGCCCGCCAGGAATGATTGTACCCCGCTAGTATATTCGCTAGACCTGACGACCACGGATAATAGATTCGACGCCCGGCTTCCTCCCATGCCGCCCTTGATATCCTTTGGACCCAAGCGATAAGTATCCAGGTGATCGGGTTTTCGCTCACAACTGCAACAAAGCCAGGCTTTTAATTGCACTCGTGAATTTTCGTTAAGGGTCGCTCTCAGCAGCCGTTTCGCCAGAATCGTGGAAAAATAGTACATTCCTTCCGGTTGGAGAGCAGGCCAAATTCGAAACACAGACATCTCGCATACCAATTTTTCCACGATTTATGGAAAAACGAAGCTATAATGCCCCCTTTAAATCGACCAAATCACAAAAAAACGCTCCCGAAATCGATTCGGCCATAGAAAAGTGGGTTTGAGTGACTCTCGGGGACGGGGGAAGCCCTTCGCGGACATTAACCTACGGTGTTTTGGAAAATACGGTGCTATCAGGCTAGTTCAGCACGCAGAGTTTGGGCTGGTACCTTCGGAAACTATGGACGTGCGCTCGAACGAGGTCCCCCATTACGACAACTATTAGAGATCGGGGGAAATGAGAGAAAGCGCAGACACAAAAACGCAGAGAGGTTTGACTCCTGGCCGCAGAAATTCTTTTGTTTTTATTGGCTGAACTAGCCGCGTTAACACGATGCCCGAAAAGGTTTTGACTTACTCTTCGACGCTTGGCTTGAGGTCATTCCATGCTAGCTCCAGGTGGGTCTTCTCACGGCATGGATCGCCGTTTTCTCCAGCCCTCCCGAAGATTTTTTTGTTCAGATCAAACGCTGAAAAGGGTACTATTGGGAGCTTTCCTAGGGGGAAGAGTAATCTCTATCCGTCCTTCCCACGGACCGCTAGAGCGCCCGAGCTGGGTGAATGGCGTGAAAATTAATATTACGAACATATCATGCCGTGACGCAGAGGATCCGCCCGTCGATGAAGCCGACCGTTGGAAGCATGGTCAGGATTGTTGAACATCTTGATCATCCCTTCATCGTATTGGCGGCTCTTCAGGTCTTCTGCGAAAGCGGTGCCTCCATTTTTTGCTTCGAAATTGCCGCGGATGAGCCGCCACTAGCAGAGAAGAACACCATTTGCCAAATCGTTTTGAAAGCAAAGCAATCATCCCGGTTCGTTGACTACCTGGCTGGGCGCAACCACCATGTACGCCAAGATCGGGGTCAAACGTTCAAAGCATACGTTTCCTCCACCAACGATATTTCCAACGAAGATGATGCTAAAGGATGATTGTGAGTTATCGAAAGTCTTTCCGCGACCCACTTTTGCCAGGAGCCCTTTGCCAGCAGCATCGCGACAGCGCCAAGCGTGCGATGTGCCAGAGGTCAGTGAACTGAAAATTGATTCGAACGGGCTGACAGATTCAGAGTGGCCCAATAAAAAACACCCCTCCCCGACTCGACGCCGAAGTATCGGTCCGGAATGATGGATATACCATTTCAAAGCCTGAAAACGGCTAGTCTCCAGCCATCTTCATACCCATCTTCCTATTATTTAAACGTGACGTTTGACAGATATTTGCGTAATTCCGATTTTCCGGGTTGATTTTCCAGTATCGAAGTAGAATTTCCGGACGTAGTAGTTAATTAGATGCAGAGGAGCTCCCCTAAGTAAGGTGGAAACGCCTTATAAATGACCAGTTCAAACAAAACCTGAGTTATATGATAAAAATAATCCAATAAAATCTGAGTATAGGTGAGTTATCCCTACCATATATAATTTGGTCGCGTATCTTTTGTGTGTGTGTATCTGGATGTCACTTTGCCCGATTTCAGGGCCTTCCCGTGTCCAAAATGCCCTAATTCTCCGTCCTATAGAGAAGTCAACCATTCTGTTTCCACTGGCGTTTTCAGGGGCTGATAAAACCTACAAGTTACAAAGCGAAAGCCGATTTTATTGATGTTTGGGGGTCCGGGAGGGCTAATTTGCATAATGTAAAAAAATAGAAATCCCCTCATTCTTGCCAGTTGCACTCGCGAGTTTGGTCGGGGGAGGTGAGGGGTCCGAAGGACCCGAGCCATCGGAAATTCAAATTTCTCATGCAAAGGCATGATTCCAGTGCCCAAGGCCCGCGCAGCGGATTTTGGGCGCTGGTACGCCTTATAAATGACCGGTTCAAACAAAACCGTTGTTCGGATCTGATGCTTCTGCGCCGGGTTGGCGGGGGTTTGGTTAGAATTTTTGCGCCCACGTTTCCATAGAGGTCTCCGACGACAATGGTGCGCCCTTGCTTCTTTGCCACCCCAAAATCATTCCGAGCATCCATCTCCACGTCGTGGCACAAGCTCTTCAGGTCATCCGCGTCCGGGTTGTACAACGGCGGCTATTTTCAAAGATTAGCTCTTTCCGAAAAAGTATCACCTCCTCGCCGTCCACTGCCAAATAGTATTCGCTGCCCAACTCGGCGATAATCTTCAGTGCCGCATCAAACGCGGGAGGAGGCTTCTTGGTCATTTTCTTAGCATACTCCCGCTCGGGCTTGGCCACTTGCTTCGACTTCCACGCTTTCTGAAATTTGGATCGGTTACGCCTTTGTATTTCCAGACATCAAAGCAGTAACATCTTTCTGAAAATCTAAATGTCCAGGGGGGTTTCAACGAAAAGCTTGCTCTTGCTTTTTGTTTTGTACGGGTTTTCTTGCGATGGTGTTTTTATAATTATGTGAGCTTTGCAAAAACCCTTTTTGACAAAAATTCGCCTAAAAATGGCTTGCTCGAAATTTAAAAAATGGATTGGAAGAGTGATGGAAAAGATAATTTTCTGTAAAAAGATTCTTTCCTGAAACCCCGGGAATATCAGATTTTTCAAATTTTTTTTATACGTAGTCGCTGTGGATCACCAGCGTTTTTAAAATTAAGGGTTTTTAAGGGTCTTAATTTTAAAACCTTTTTAATTATATGGTATCTCAAAGACATCGGCACTCACAAGCTTTTTGAGATCGATTCTGAGCGCAATGCCATTCGCAGCCAGGTCGAAAAGCCCTGGTGCGCGTTCGAACGGAGGCTGCGATCCCGTCGTCTGAAAAAACCTAGCTTTCGAAACCCGTCCCACGCAACCTGGTCCACGTATTGGATCGATAACGCGCTTCATTTTGTATATTCTTTTTTGAATTGTTGGCGTAAAGGCAGGAAGGCTTTTTGTGAGACTAACGAAAGGCAGATCTCCGGAAGTGCCGTTTCCTAGACCCTTAGCGTCTGGTCGCCTACCATGTTTTTGAAATGCGCCATGTGTCCTCCCTCAATCTTGGATGTGATAAGTTCGTAGTGGCCTTCGGACAGGTCCGCAATTTCCGTAGGCGCCGTCTTCAGGGATAATCCTGGAACGGCGGACGGGTCCGCAACTTCCGTGGGCGGCGTCTTCAGGGCTAATTCTGGGGTCGGTTCGGCGGCCACCGGGTTTGGTTCGACGATTGGGGCTGGGGTCGGTTTTACGAAGGCCGGGGTCTGTTCGACGGCGGCCGGATTCGGTTTAGGAGCGATCGGAGCTGGTTCGGCAACGACCGGGACGGGCGAAGGAACCGTGGCGGGTGATTCGACCACGGCCGGAACGGAAGCAGCAACGGCGGGTGATGGCTCGGCAACGCTTGAAGTCGTCGGTGACTCGACGGCCACTTTCTCCAAATCCTCCTCCTTCTCGCGCTTCTTCCTGAAAGGATAGCTTGTATAGATCAGACGAAAATTGGCTTACTTATTTAGCAGGCAACCGAGAAGAACACCGCAACCGATCAGCACCACCACTCCGGCTCCAGCTAAAAGAGGATTGGTAAGACTCGAAATGGCAGGCGGTGCAAGACGGAACTCACCTGCTCCTAACCAGATCATCATTTCGCTCACAAGGGGAGCAGCAACCGTAGTAGCTGTAGGGCCGGTCGGGCCGGTCGGTAGCCCATTGCGGTATGCGCAGATTCTCTGGAAATATCTCGATCACTTTGGAATCGGTGGACGGTCTCCCAGTGTAGAAAATGCTCTAATTCTCCATACCCTTGGACCCTTGCCGACCGCGTTTTCAGAATTGCGATAAAATCGCCTAATGCCAAAAAACTACAAATTGCACGCCTCGCAATTTGCTCGCGCGCTCTCGTCCGCAGGACCCGAGCCAATGGAAAGCCAAATTTCTCATGAAGGAGCCTCATTCCAGCGCCCAAGGCCGAAGGTACAAATTCAGCAACACCGAATCAAAAAAAAATCTACAGAGTCGTTGACCCCCTGGCACGGCGGCGGGGTGATGGCGAGGCCGCTCGTGTTGCCGTTGCGGAACTGGACGAAGATGTTCTTGCTGCAGTCCAGCAATTTGTCCTTTTTGACGCGCTCACGGTCTGGCTCCTAAAGACAAGTTCTCCGGTCTCAATAGTGTATCTTGGGCTAGTTCGCTAGAAGGGGAGGAAGTTTAAGGGCGCGTG